TCTGATTTTTTAAATAAATTACTGCAGAATACATTACAATTATATTACACATATAGAGCACAATTTTTATACCTCTGATTGTATAGAAAGTATGTTCACACCAATTCATATTTTCATACATGTACTTTGGATAATGATGTCCATCACATTCCACCATCAATTCTAACCCCCTGCCTCTTCTCTTCCCATTCCACTACTCTGCTTTAGAGTTTGTCTATTACTTCCATGCTCCCCCACCCCCACCCCACTATGAGTCAGTCACCTTATATCAAAGAAAACATTTGGCATTTGTTTTTTGGGAATTGGCTTACGTCAGTTAGTATTATCTTCTCCAACTCCATTAATTTACCTCAAATGCCAAGATTTTATTCTCTTTTATTGCTGAGTAATATTCAATTGTGTATAAGACACATTTTTTTGTCCATTCATCTACTGAAGGGCATCTAGTTTGGTTCCACAGTTTAGTTATTGTGAATTGTGCTAGTACTTTTAGCACAATTCACAATAGTACTTCTATCCTAAGTATCAATTATTATGCATGGGTTTATTGCAGAAAGGCAATAAGCATTCAGTGAATTGATTTAATAGTAATTCTAGGTTGGGAAATAAATCAAGGCTGTGGTATTGATTTTGGCTGAATCCGTTAAAGATGTAACTTTTGGAAGAGGCTTATTGGAAGTGAATTTTCAAGGGTGTGTAGAATTGGAGAGATGTGAAAGACAGTGATATAATAAAGACAGTGATATAACTGACCTTACTCAGGGATCAAAAATTTTTTCTGAAAAGGGCCAGATCATTAATACATTTTTGTTTGTGTGTGTGTGCCTCTGTGTGTGTGTGTGTGTGTGTGTGTGTGTGTGTATGCCCAGTAATTAAACTCAGTGGCACTTAACTACTAAGCCACATCCCCAGCCCCCCTTTTTATTTTATCTAGACACAGGGTCTCACAGAGTTCTTAAAACCTTATTAAGTTGCTGAGGCTAGTTCTGAATTGGCAATCCTCCTGCCTCAGACTTCCAAGCTGCTGGGATTACAGATGTGCACCACCTTGCCAGGCAGGGCTGGTAAATACTTCAGGCTTATGCATCACATGGTTTCATCACAATTACTCAACTGTGTCCTGGTAGCACAAAATAAGTCATAGACAACAGGGAAACAGTGTCCATGTCTGTTCCCATAAAACTTTGTTTATGATCAATGAAATTTAAATTTCATTTACTTTTTATGTGTCACAAAATAGTATTCATGTTCTGAAATTTTTAACCACTTAAAATGCAAATACTATTTTAGCTGTGGACCATACAAAACCAGCATTTGATCTGAAAGTTATATTTGTTGAGACATGATAGGACAAAAAAAAAAAAAAACAGAAAGAAAGTGGGAGTGATTTGAGTGCTGCAAAGGGCAGAAACAATGCTTGGAAAAAGAAAAAAGAAAAGGAAGAAATCAGATGACATATTCCAGGGGAAACTATGGGTGTATTCAAAGAGATTGAGGCAAGAGAAAGTTTTTTTTTTTATAATAAATAAGATATTTTGAAGCAATAATATTTAGATGCAAGGATCAATGAAAGGGTGGTGTCAGTCCAAGGTAAACAGAGTTTACACAATTTTCTGTGTAAGGTTGTGGTAGCCTTTGTGTGAGGTTTGGGTTCTGGCACAGTCTTTTCTGAATAATAGTTCTTGTGACCATCACACATGTATGAGACCCCTTCTTTATAACTGCCTGGCATGGTTATATTCTTATTGTTAGG